CTCGTATCATAAAATAAGATCTTAAATAATTAAATAGCACTTCTTAAATTATTTAAAAAACATTTTTAAACCTTCAACTATGATATACTTTTAACATACTTCTTTTTGCATATTTCTTATAACAAACTTTTTTATATGAAATTATTTTTATCATATAAATAAGTACGTTAAGTATAATCTAAGTAATATATATTTTTTTTTTACTTTTATTTTTTATAAAAATTTTTTTCATATCATGATAATTAATTTTTTTTTTCAACGTAAACATCTATAATGAGCTATGCTAATATTTATTTGGTAACCTTGAAAACTCCTTAAAAAACCTATCAATTTTAAATTAGAATTTTAAATAGGATATCCTCTTAAATTAATGGATATTAAAATTCTTGATATTTTATTTCAATACATAAGTTTATCCGTTTCGAAGAAAGTTTTTTAACCTTTATTATGTTATTATCAATAAATCTTGACATTAAAACTTAGACATTTCAATGTTTCATAATATTAAGTTTCGCAAGCTCAACTTAGTAAACAATATTCTTCACATGCATATGTACTTATATCCTCTTCTTTAGATAATGTGAATGATGGTAGCAACGTCGTTTTCACATCTTAAGAATGATTTGTGCAAAGAGTATAGTTTCAATCGTGTTGATAACGTTTACTACAATGTACAAGCCAAGCCTAATCTCTTATCTAAATATTTTTTAATATTTTCATATTAAGTTTTTCAAGATCATCATCAATTAAATTTAATTACTACTACTACTATTAAAATTAATTTCAATAATCTTTATTTGAAATAGATTGCATAGAAAAAATTAATTAATATTTTACGTGTTATAGACGATAAAAACTCGATCGAACTATTAACAGTATGTTAAATAGACGCGATTTGCGTCACTAGAAAGAATTACTCTTTGAATGTTACACTGCAATGCGTCACGCTGGTGGAGAGAAAAAGTATCTGCTATAATTACGTGATCGAGTACGGTATATCGTTAGTTGTGTAACGAATCGTTGAAGTGCAACAGGTATCACATGTATACGTCACATGTATTACGTATAACTTCCTGCGGATGCAAATTCTTTGCGTAGGAAACATCATATGCGGGAATTGCGTAAAATGACACTTGTTTCTGACATAATAGCGAAAGCTAAGTTTTTTTTTTTTTTTTTATATGGAATAACTTGGAATAATTTTAAAACACTTTTGGTGAAACTAGTTAACATTGATATTGGAAGCATATAAACGAGAATTGTTACGTATCTTCGGGTATTTAGCCTTTTTTTCCCCTCATTCATTTATTTACAACAAGTATTGGAAT